ATTAAAACAAACCACACCCTCTGTTGGTACTGGGTTGTGTTGTTCTGAATAGTTGAAAAGAACACATGGCATTTTCTTAATTACTCAAAGACAAATATTTTTTATTAATACAAGTTGCCTTTGCTCTTAGAGTCCATTTACTAAGATTTTATCCTGTATGTGTTTTAATTCCATAAAAGTGACTCAGAGCTGGAAGTTCCAATGCCCTGACTCTGGGCAAGGATGATACAATTATACTCAGAAGTGAGCTGGTCAATGTTTAACAATCTGCTCTCTGAAAAGGTATATGTGTGAGCATATGTAAATACGTTTATTTCAACTTTTATTGATTTAAAAGATGTGTAGCCCACAATTTATGAGTAATTACAAATTACTCACTACTTTTGACTGTAAATTGTATAGCTAATTGATTCTCACAGAACGCTTTCATTGATTTTGGCCAAATGCTTTCACCCATAGCCAATCTGTGTCTGCAATTCAACCACAGTTTGACAAAATAAGACTATAAATAAATGCTTGATTATTGTCCAGCTCAGCAAAGAAGTTGCTCATGTCATTGACAAATGAATATAGTTCCAACTGAATATTAGTTGACTTTTTTATGTTAATAAGACAAATTGAAACAGTGAAGATGCATGCTATAACTTTATTCACCTGTCAATGACATGAGTGACCTTTTTAATGAATCATATACTAGCTTGCAAATATTAGAAGGATATTTCCTAAAATATTTCATTATTTACAATGTGATGGCTATAGACCTGACACACCTTTAAGTCTAATCTGAATGAATGACATTTTTTCTATAACTACATTAAGTTTATTAAGCTAGATAATCGATCAACAAAACAATAAATCAGGCCTTGATTTTTATCATTTGCCAATTTCCCTGGTGTAAATACCATGGACAATTTCAAACTAACAGAATACGGAGTTGGGAAGAGATGTTCACTAGAGCAGCGTTGTATAATACTTCTACCATAGAGAAGAGATACAACCAACAACTTGTAAAATTCCTGAAAATTTAAGAATGAGATCTCTGGAGCCAGCACAAATGACTCTAGTATATGACTGATCATATTTCATTTACCTAGAATTGTCTCTTCCAGTTTAGCAATGAGTACGTCATCTATAGAAACTGCTTTGTTAAAATAAAAAAACTGAAGAGCCGGGCGCGGTGGCTCAAGCCTGTAATCCCAGCACTTTGGGAGGCCGAGGCGGGTGGATCACAAGGTCAAGAGATCAAGACCATCCTGGTCAACATGGTGAAACCCCGTCTCTACTAAAAATACAAAAAATTAGCTGGGCATGGTGGCGCGTGCCTGTAATCCCAGCTACTCAGGAGGCTGAGGCAGAAGAATTGCCTGAACCCAGGAGGCGGAGGTTGCGGTGAGCCGAGATCGCGCCATTGCACTCCAGCCTGGGTAGCATGAGTGAAACTCCGACTAAAAAAAAAAAACAAAAAAAAAAAAAAAAAAAAAACTGAAGAAACCTCAAGTATCTGTAAAGTTAGCAATGACTAAATCTGCGTGTTATCTAAAGCTACCATCTTAACAAAATGACTATGTTCTCAAAAATTAGCTCCCAATGGCATCTAAAACATGCCTCATTCTCAAAAGTCTAGGACCAATAACTAGAGTCTCAGTTCTAGTGTTTAGTAATGCTTTGTGGCATTTTTCTCTCTCGTGTCTAAATTAACATAAAACACAGAAAATGGCATCATGAACACCAGGGGCAGGGAGGCACCTTAGAAATTAACTAGACTAAGCTACACTCTTTAGGGAGGCTAGCTTACTTACCACAGAGAAGCAATGTTACAACCAAAACCCAAGTTTTCATTAGTAAAATAGTTTCTGGGTGCTAAGGTGAGATAACTGTGGTAAATGTATTCAATTTTCTCTCACTTTTGGGAAAAATGGGTCCCCTCAGCAACACGATTTTGGGGAGAGTATTAAGTTATGAAAAGGAACTTTCAGTTATGTTTACATGTTCACATCACTAGGGTTTTTTGTTTGTTGTTTCTAGTTCGTAGCATCGTTCTTTTCAAGCACGTATTTGCCCACGCCAAGAGTAATCATTTACAAGTTAATAGCAAGTGAACTGGACAAGTCTTGTGTAAACCAGCCAACCCTCAAGCAAATTTCAGTCAATAACATATTTTACACCTTGATCTCAGAGTCATAAATCTTATGTTCTTGTGAACTACTAGAGGCAGAAAATTCCTTTGGAAAAAGGGCTGTTAGCCAATCTCATGGGGCTGCTAAAAATTTCATTTTTGAGAGGAGAGTCTCTTCTCTGGAAATAATGTCTGTAACAACACATTTTTCTTTTTCTCCTTTTTCTCTTCTTATTCTTTTCCTTCTCCTTCCCCTCCTCCTTCTCTTCCTCTCCCCTGTTCTTCCTCCTCCTCCTCCTTCTTCTTTTTTATAATACAGGCCTACAATCTTTTACTGAAACCCCAAGCGCCAGGTATGTATGGATTCAGAAATTTTCAGATTTTAGAAAGGTAACACTTTGCATATAGTATATTATCTGAATCACCCCCAGTAGGGTCTGGAGCAATACTCCATGATCAACCATGTTTATGTTTTGTAGCAAAACATATATAATCACATGAGGTAGGATAAACAGGACCACACATAGCCTCTCATCAGTTCATTTCAGGTCAATTTTACTATTAAAAACTATTTGTAAAGCTACATTTTCAGGGCTTCTTAGATTTAACAATTCTGGGTAAGGGAGTATAGGCCTGTAATGACATTATCAACATGCTCTTCTTCTCTCGGTGCATTTTAAAAAAATAAGTATGTGGAGAACGTTTCCTTGATCTATGTTGAACTTTAATTTTATTGTTATGTATTGGAAGCTACTCATTCTTATATTAATCTCAGAAAGGCATTAGCTATGTTTTGCTCTGGTCTTGCTTTAATTCTAGGCTTATGCAATAGGCAAGTTAGATTTCTAAGGGATGATGGAGGAATAAATGGCTCTAGCATTCTACCAATTTGGTGTCCTCTTTAGGCCACCAATGAACTTGCTAACTACTTGTGTGTTTTCTACCAGCCTTGCAATGCAACACAGCTTTGCAATTTTCTCTCTTTTTTTTTTAAAGGCTACTAAAGTTTCCTGTACCTGCAAAATTAAAAAGAAACAAGAACTGGTGTTGTATATAAAGGGAACAGAGAATACCAAGCTTAACTTTGTCCTTGTAGAAGAAGTATTGATTAGTCTGGTTAATGCTGCACTAGACACCAAGGAATAACCAGACTTTGTTTCTTAGGTCCCTCATAGCCTCATAGAGACCAGCCCTCTAGACATCAAGACTTGAAAAGTTACTCAGGATATTCCCTGCAGTCAAAAACTGTGGCTGGGAAACTAGGTGGGAGGGAACAGAATCTGCCTGGTGTTGGAGAGGATGTATTAATATAAATAATAAACACAGAACATGTATTGTAGAAGGCTGCAAGCAGAGGGAAACTTCAGACACCCAAAGGGTGAAAAAACATAAAAAGAAACAGTTTTTAAATTGTAACTTGTTGTCTAGTGCAATGATAAAAGCTATCCAAGAATACAGCTATTTTAGAAAGTTAAATTTTACACGCAGTGCTACTAAAATACCAAAGGCCATACATAACGTCTGACCCAAGCTGCCACCTCATATAGCAACTTCTTACATGGGAGCTTTAAAAAGATCGTTTGACTGGTCCACTGTCCTGCAGTGTCAGGAGACAGTTTTGTCTGACATATCGAATTTCCAATGTCTCTCACACTTCCTCCTTTTCAGATGCACAAAAGGTTTTTGTAAAGTTTCTCTTGGTTTTACTGCTGGCAACTACAGAAACC